TATATATTTTGAATTTAGCACATAAATAGYTGGACATATGAATCAATCAAGCTCGGCGAGACTATTGTACGGCTGAGGAACGGATCCGACGCCCCTGAAAAGCAAATAGCCGATTTGCGAATTTCGCTTCATCAATCAAATCTAGACGAGGCGACGTGCGTAAAGCTCAGTCAATCGTGAAAAACTATTGTCTTTTCACGAATGACTGAGCTTTATGCACGRCGCCTCGTCTTGATTCCTTTGTGTGTGACTACTGAGGCAAAATTCGCAAGTCGTCTATTGTAATGATGACTCTACATAGATCTCGGGCGCGTACGTCCGCAAAGGGATGTTAGTTTTCCGTCATTATACAAAGCCAAATAATATATGGATAGATAGACTCGTCAACTTTGACATTTGTCTAAAATTGTCGATCAAACATTTATAATAAACTTTTATCACTTTTCGTGTTTGTGGATCGACGAGAAAATGACGTATGGTCAATTTAACAAATCGCGCATTGTTTTGAGTTCTCTCGTTTACACACTCCTGTTCAAAACTAATATTAGGACCGCAGGTTTTTGAACGTGTTACGACAAGAGGAGTCGACGGTTTCCTGGGAAAAATATATCTGTTGTTATGTCCCAGCCAGCTGTAAGTCATAACTGGTTGCCAGCAAAATTATATTACATTTTTTTATTCCAGGAGAGAAATAGGTTCAAAGAATTTTTCCCAGGAAACTCTTTACGTCCATTGCAGGAAGGAAAATCATAAATATCTTTTAAATACTCGAGTGCTTTAGCGATCCGAAGGGAGAGTTTTTCCCACCCTGGAAGGTCGCCACAGTTGCTTGTCAAAATTCTAGTTCAAAAACCCTTTCCCAGGAAAAAAATGTATAAGAACAGTTATTTAGAAGAACAGACCTCGTCGGCTCCTCCTGTTATGACATCAAGAGAAGAACATACAACGAAAAGCCGTGTGCAACTTGCTTTTGCTTTACCACATTTCTTGTCCAAAAGTTAACGAAAAATATTCTGTTATTTCAACTGATTGCGCGGCGACCGAGATTTTGTCAGCAAAGTGTGTATGCACTCTTCTTGACACACTCTAATCAGCCAGTTAGGGCAAGAGAATTTAGACAAAGCGGGTTTTTAACAAGTCGATCTTCTAAGTATATCACACATTATTAGACTTTGACTATTACACTTTGTTTTAATCACGGGTTAATGAAAGCAAAGCATTTTTTCACTTTATGTTAACTCTCTCTTTTATATTCAACAGGAATCTCCAAAGCAACAAACTGAATGGTTCAACTATACATGGCATGTTTGATGGTCTTTCTGCAATAACGATGCTGTACATATCTTGATATTCAGTAGTAGTGTTTGTTTTTGCTATTGATATACTGCGTTTTACAATATACAGCCTTTTGCAAAAATTATGAGAATTGTTGAAATATCTAAATATCATAATATCAAGTGCATGATGGGTAATCCCGCGCAATGCCCTTAGTCCCTTGTCTTTGTAGTTTAGTTTTTTTTGGCGACAGACTTATCCGTAGTTCTGAACATTTTCTCGATGTCAACAATGAATTTTTCTAGCAAACCCGCGTGTTCCGGACAATATATGGATATGGATATTATGATATTTAGATATTTAGACAATTCTCATAATTTTTGCAAAAGGCTGTAAAGATACAATTTTCATAATATGCTGATATCTGATATCTGAATTTCCCAAGTGCATCCAAGGCTTTTGTACGAGATTTTCTCAACTAAGAAATCAAGCTGCCAATGGCAACACAACTCGGAGATTGTAGGGTGATTTGAAAAAAAAAATAACAGAATATGAAATTGAAAAGTGTACCACAGAGCTTAT